ACCGGGCCGGGTCTAAATTTTATAATTGCGGGTCAGGCGGGCCTGGGCGGACCAGGTTAAACCAAACTAAATTTTATACAAATTGGTTAAGATATTAAAAAATTTTATTAGAAGCATTTTTTTATTTACTATAAAAATTTAATATACCACATAGATCATATAAAAAATGATCTATATATACCCTACCCTTAAAACATATTAGCTGATTTGATTTTTAGACCTTTTTCGATAAATTATTATACAAAAATTTGCTTTTAAGTGATGTTAAAAAATAACAAATGAAGTATTTATTATAATTAACAAAAAGTTTTTTTAATATTTAAACTAGCTAAACAACTAATAAACCTAATAAAGAAGCTAAACTAAGATGTAAAAAGAAGTACTTTTACTTTTTGTTAAAATATTTAGATGTTTAAAAATTGGTTGTGCATTGTTTGATTAACAAAAGTAAATTTAAAAACTAATTTTTTAAAAAAATTCTTTTAACTTACTTTTGGCTTATAACTAAATACATAAATTTTGTAAATTTCTATATACTTAATTATAAATGCAAGGCTAGTTAAAAAGATTATTTTTGTGAAAATTTGCTTTGCAATAAATTTTTATGAAAATTTTTTGTTAATCTTTAATCATAATTGGTTAATTTTGAAATCAAAACAAATTAACCAATATGACTTTTTTTTATATTAAATTAATTATCTTTGAGTTTTTAATTAAAATTATAGAGCTTGTTAAGATAAATCTAATAGTAATTAAGTCATCAAAATCAGCTTGATAAATTATATGATATCTTTAAAAAATATTTTATTGACTATATAAACAATATATAAAAGTTCATATAGTTATCAAAAAATTTTAAAAATATCTTGTAATTCACTAGACTAATTTTGATAATTTAACTACTATTAGATTCGTCTTGATAAACTCTACAACTTAAATTAAAAAAAGTAATTAACTTAATATAAAAAAAAAGTTTTAGATATAAATATGCCATATTTCAAAAACTGTAATTTCTATATGTAATTCCTATTAGATTATACTTGATTACTCTCTAGTTATCTGCCTACACCTCGAGGACATCATTCTTCTGTTCTAAGTAATTAAAGAAATCTTGTTATAATAGATAATATAATTTTCGTTTATAAAATAACTTACTTTTCTGCAATATCTATATAATAGCGAAAGACGGCCGTATTATTGTATATGGGGGTTATATTGATCGAAATACATTGGTTCCAGTTCTAGACGATCTTGCGGTGTTAGATACTGGAGGAACGGTTTTTACTTGGTCAAAAGCGAATGTTTCTACACTTTCACCTCCTTCACGTTGTTATCATTCAGCTACTTTGGTTGATCATTATATGATTGTAGTTTTTGGAAGAAACGATCTTTATCTACCATAATCGACAATGAATGAAGTATATATTTTAGATACAAGTGACAAATTTGATTATAAATGGATTAGCGAATATAAACTTGGTGGACCTGTACCGACAACGAATTCTACGCTAACTACTCCTAACACTAACGTTGGCACTAATATAGCATTAATAGCATCGACTGCAGTTTTAGCATTTTTATTTGTTTTAGCCATTGGCTTAATTTTCTTTTTTTATAAAAGAAAACGAAATCTTTTATTGATATATGGTTCGAACGAAAACGAAAAATAAAGTTTAAGTATATATTTTATTGCATAAATATACATATCTGATATCGACATCGATGTGGCGGGAAATCTTTATTCCACAACAATATTTGAATACTATAGATTCGAATATTATAAATTTGTGTAGTCCTCGGTCAAAAATACATAACAATTAAAAACATCATGGTAAATTTCACTTCTGGTGAATACTTAATAAATTCAATAATAATAGAAAACCTACGTAAAAATTTGAGGAATCAATAGCTGAAAAACAAGTTGCTAGTTAGTTATTGGAATATTTATGATAACTAAAAAAACTATTCATAAAGGTTCTCTTTCTTTCGTTAATTAAAAAAAAAAACAAACAAAAAACTAAAATTACCTATCTTAGTACGGCCAAGGTTTATTAATTACCTTAAAGTGCTACATTCAGTACCAGGGTATAAATCTAAATTGATTTGTATCCGGAGGGTACTGATTGAAGGAGGGTACAATTCAAGAGGGTGTTTTGAATTGATCATGTGACAGTCCGGAATGAATAGGAAAATTTTTGAAGTTTGATTTAGCACATATATTTCTGCAAATATTACAATATATATTAAAAAAAACCTTTACATTATTAATTTTATTTATTCTTTCATTATGGTCGGGTCAACATTTTCTTGTGTACTGATGC